CGGCAATTTTTAAAAATATAGGACACGGGTATGGCATGACACGGCATAATAATTTTTTAATATAATATATAAAAATTAAGGTGACATTATAGTAAAAATGTCAAGCAATAATAAATCAATTTCATGATAACTTGTTTAGTTTATAACATAAAGATGTTTAGTACAAAATGTCTAGTACAAACACAAAAATATAAGCAAAAAATCATTTAATACAACATGAATGTCTAACTACTCAATAGAGGGAATGATAAAATTAGATTCAGATGTTGGTCTTTGGCCTTCAATATCATCATCATTGAATATCATTGCTTCCAACTCTGGTTCATCTAGAGAAAGATTTGCAACCTCCAATAATCCCATATCATCAAGGCACTCGAACCCATCTCCAGCAACATCCCACATCTTGTTATCACCTATCATATAAAGTGGGGTTTTCCTTGATAGAAGACGAAGATTTGTATGCACATAAACTAAATCTTCAGCACGTTGTGGAGTTATTTTATTCCTTTTCATTGATTGAATAAATAAGTATGTACTCCAATTTCTCTCACAACAGGAAGAGGATGATACTGTGTTGCTTTTGCTCCACCTATCTTCAAGAATAGTATAAACAATGCTCCAAAAACTTGAGTCTTCAACATGTGACTTTCTTTCATGTCAGTATATAATTTCTTTCACTTTTGCTAACATAGAGTCTCACATCTCATAAATCAACTACGACGTAGTAATCTTATGACATATTTTTATTCCATGGCCAAAAATTGCATTTGAATGACACATTCCCTCCTCCTTCAAATGTTTTTCCTAACTTTGTAACATGAATCCATAATGGCTTATCAATTTCTACAGATGGTTCTTTTGAACCTTCACCTAATCCACTCCCGCCAGCAGCCGAGCTCATTTTGCTAACAAACCAATCATGCATATGAATACATCGAATTAAATTGATATGAAGTGAAATAAAAAAATCACAACATGAATAAAACAATATACCGGTCTGCCGGGGGTCAAGGGGGCGCTACCCCCTGGCGGGGTTCGACCTGCCTGGTCAGGTTGCAGGGTCAAGGGGCAGCGCCCCTGGAACAAAATTTTATTGTAAGAGTAATTTTGAAGTTCTACTTGTTTTTAAAGTTCGTAAGTTGTTTGTATGTGAAGATACCAAGTGGTACCGAGCATGTACCTAGCAGTACCGAGCATATACCTAGCAGTACCGAGCATGTACCTACCAGTACCGAGCATGTACCTAGCAGTACCGAGTATGTACTGAGCAGTACCAAGTATGTACTAAGCGGTACCGAGCATGTACCTTGCGATACCGAGCATGTACCTACCAGTACCGAGCATGTACTGAGCAGTACCGAGCATGTACTGAGCAGTATCGAGCATGTACTGAGCAGTACCGAGCATGTACCTAGCGATACCAAGCGGTACCGAGCATGTACATTAGATTTTTCAACAATGAAGAGAATAAATGGCGAAATCCACTTACAGGTCTTGGCTCTCTTACGCGCAGAAGGTGCTCTATTTGGCCTTGATTGCGAACTTTCCCTCGAATGACAGCAGAAATAATGTAAGAACGAAGGAACGGGAAAGACGAGCTCTGCTTGGCTGAGCAGAAATGACGAAGGAACGGGAGGCGAAGGAAGCGGGCTCCGTTTGGCGTCGACTGCGAGCTCTCCCGGTCCGCCCTATAAGCTTTCTTTCGTGGATCGAAAAAATAGGGCTTCTCATTCGCGAAAAAGGCTAAATAGAACGGACGATTTTATCATTTAATAACCGGACACACATGTCGGACACGCGTGTCCGATTTAAATTTTAATCTTTTAAATTCCGACACTCCAAAGCCGTGTCAGAAACGTGTCCATGCCGTGTCTGACGCGTGACCGTGTCCGACATGTGTCCGATACTGCATACCCTCTTTAAGAGGCGTGTCGGTGCATCATAGGCCCGTAGGCACCAAAACATGACTTTTTAACTACCAGAACATGTTGTATAGCCACCAAAATATCTTACTTCTTTTATAATAACATTTCTTAAAACTTCTCAATTTAATTAATAAAGCACATAATTCAATCACATAAATACATATTTCATAATAGTGAAGCAATTAAAGAATAATTGAGCTCATAACAGAATTGCACAGTTTTTTATGACGGTAGGCAATAGAACTTCCTACTGAGTACAAAAATACAGTCTTAAAACATAATCAAATTATCAGAGATTGTATCAAATATCATTTTAAGACTTTAATCGTACTACAACACTATTTTTTAGAGTCCAAATTATTTTCTATTTAATAAAAATCACACCAATTTCGACAACTTCTTGTATAAAATTTTTAAAAAATATTCAAAATATCATAATCTCAATCTCTATACAACAACAACATCAAACCTTTATCCCACTACATGGGGTCGGCTACATGAATCATTTTTCACCATTGTGTCCAATTAAAAGTCAAATTAACGTTTAAATCTAATAAAGAAAGGCCATTCCTAATATATTCTAACCAAGTCATTTTAGGTCTGCCTTAACCCTTCTTAATATAAGTCAAACCTAATATCTCTACTCTCCTAATCAGGTCATCAGAAGGCGGCTGTTTTATGTGTCCAAACCATCTAAGGCGATTCTCTCTAATCTTATCTTCTACTGGAGCTACTCCAACTTTTTCACGTATATGCTCATTTCGTATCCTATCTCTAAGGGTAAAGCCACTCATCCACCTGAGCATCCTCATCTCTGCCACACTTAACTAAGTATTATGCTTCTCTTTTAATGGCCAACATTCGGCACCATAAAGCATTGCAGGCCTCACCACCATCTTATAGAATTTTCCCTTGAGTTTGAGGAGTACTTTTCTATCACATAACAAGCCCGATGCATTCCTCCATTTCAACCATCCAACTTGAATTCTGCTGATAATATCCCCATTTATTTCACCATCACTCTGAACAATAGATCCAAGATATCTAAAACGTGTACTCTTATTAATGACTTGATCGCCCAAAGTCACAATCCCTTCACTGGTCTATTACTACTAAAATTACACTCCATATATTCCATTTTTGATCTACTCAGGTGAAAACCTTTAGACTCTAAGATTGACCTCCATAATTCAAGTTTACCTTCAACTCCCTCTCTAGTCTTATCAATAAGAAGAATATTATCAGCAAAAAGCATACAGCAAGGTACATCATTTTGCAAATGTCTAGTAAGAACATCCATGACTAAAGCAAAAAGATATGGGCTTAAGGATGATCCTTGATGTAACCCAACCGAAATAGGGAAATACTTGGTCAAACCACCTTGTGTTTGAATACAAGTAATAGCTCCTGCATACATATTTTTAATGATTTGAATATAAGCGTTATTAACTCCTTTTTTTTCAAGAACTCTCCATAGCACTTCTCTTGGAACTTTATCATATGTTTTTTCTAAATCAATAAATATCATATGTAGATCCTCCTTATTTTCTCTATATTTGTCCATCAAACCTCTTAATAAATGTATGGCTTCCATAATCTCAATCTTTATAACATATAAAAAGTTACGCAGTAAAAATTTTACTCGTGTAAAGATCCTTATTTTTTAATAACAGAAAATCTAGAAAAATTTATTCAAAGTGATGGTGAAATAAATGGGGATATTATTAGCAGAATTCAAGTTTGATTGATGAAGTGGAGGAATGCATTAGGCTTGTTGTGTAATAGAAAAGTAGCACTCAAACTTAAGGAAAAATTCTATAAGAAGATGGTTAGACCTGCAATGCTTTATGGCGCAGAATGTTGGCCATTAAAAGATAAGCATAATATTAAGTTAAGTATTGTAGAGATGAGGATACTCAGGTGGATGAGTGACTTTACTCTTAAAGACAGGATACGAAATGAGCATATATGTGAAAAGGTTGAAGTACCTCCAGTGATAGATAAGATTAGAGAGAGGATATGAAATAGCATATACGTGAAAAGGTTAAAGCCTTTTTATCCCTTCCATACACCCTTAAGCCCCTCCACTAACAAATATTCCAAGGCTAATCAAATATGTCAAACCTAGGTCACCTTGCCTTGATCTAGTCTTCGCTTTCTTTCATCCTTTGGCCTCCAAAGTCCAAACCACTTAAAACTTAACAAAAATTCTAGAACACGCTTAAAGACAGGCCACTAGCCATCCCAAGTGTTTGCAAGCCCTGAACATAGTTTAGGCCTTGCCATAAGCCTTTGTTCGACCCCTTCTCTTTGATCACCACCTCCAAAATAATTTCTCCAATAGTGTTCTGTTCTCCATATCATTAACATCCCACCATTGCAACTAAAGCCTTGGAAATTATTTTCCCAAGGCTAGATTAGAAAGCATTCAATAGAATCCTTAAATCTAAAGGCTGGAAAATGTCAATAAGAAGAATGATATATTTTATCAGAGGCTTCTGAATAAAAAATTAAAAAACTCATTTTCCATGTTAATCTCAAAGAGAGGAGAAAATTTTTTAAAAGCTTTGCTTCATATCAGTTACACACTTCCCAGTTCCCATAAGCACACACGCCTTGGCAACAAAAAGAAGCTGAATCTATAGAGAAGCAGCACTTCGGTTGATAAAATATGTACTCTGTATGAACCAACATATGCCAAAGGCTGCGGATGATATGCTTACTTTCAAATGCTACACACCCACCATGTGATATAAGGAGAACGAGGAGTGTATACACAAACGTCAGTGCATTACCATCCTTGAACTTCTTTGAAGCATAACATCAATCAAATACTGGGCAACTTCCAAAGGGTCTTTTATTTTATCCCTTCGTTCAAAACTTCCAGAGTTAACACCAAATCCACTCACCTCACTTAAACATGTAATAGTTAATCAAATTCCCACCCCAAAACTTCTTCTGAAGGACTTTAACATCCATCAACATCACGCTTAAACCATCACTAAAAATAAACTTTCCTACAGCAAAAAAAACGTGAAACGGAACGATAAGAGAAGAGATGAGAGTGGCACTTACTTAGCCCAAGTTGGGTAGTTATGTATGCGATCGTACTCTCTCTTCCGTTTCTCCTCCCGAACCCTCAGCAACCTCCTTCCCCTCGCGCTCGTCCCTGAAGTTTTCGCCTTTGCCAAATCATTCTGCTCCTCATCTTCCCCACTTCCTCCAGAGTTAAATACCATCGGAACAGTCCCTCGGCTAACGTTAGCTGGCCATTTTCCGGCGCTGCGGCCACCGCCGCTGTCGATATTGAGAAAATATTGGAAACGGTGCATAGCGTAAAAGGCAGATTTTTTAATCAAGAGAACCGTGAGAGTAGCTGGTGCAAGAAAGGCATGTTGATGAGAGGGTGAAGGCCTTCGATTTAAGGTGGATAAGGAGAGAAAAGAAGAAGAGCAGCCGTAGCTCGTAGGCGCGAGCATTGCATCGCTAGCGGCGGCGAAGTCCGTTACTCCGTTGCGACTCGCGAGAAAATCATAAAAATGCGTGTTTTTTTCTTTAGAATTCAAGATAATAACAAAAGCTTTAAAACTTTTATCAAACAAAATTAGTTTTTACTCATAAATATTGTTATATTATATTACTTTTTAAATTAAAATTATTATACATGCTCTATGATTATACGTGCATGAGTTTGTTGGTAGAATTCATAATCTTTCCTCCAGTTTATTTTGCTTGTTAACGGCGATTAAAGGTATATATTCCTTGATTTTTTTTTCTTTTAAGGATTTCTCGCAGGGGCAGAGCCAGAAATTATTTATAGTGGGGGCACAAATTAAATTTTATAAGGGGGATTTACATACATGACACTTTATTATATCTATATTACATATTTAACACCTAAAGCTTAAATATTACATTCCTACCATCCAAATACAAATCTAACAACAAAAATATCACTCTGTCTCCACAAGCCCTAACTCCGTCTCATCATGTTGCGTGCTCTTCCCGCGAAATAGAAACAGCACATGGAAGAACTTTGGATTAGTATTATATACATTTACCTTTGTTTCTGTAAAAAAAAATTTGAGACTTTTCTTTTGATTTTTCCTCTTTACAGTTGGATTTCAGTGCCCTCCAATTTGCCGAGCAGTTGTCTTTGTCGTTTTGCTTGATGCTTTTATATGGTTTGATGCTAAACTTTGCTCCGAGTTTTTCTTTTTCAGACTTCGTTGATTCAAGGGTAGTAGTGCTGATATTTTTAATGAAGCTAAATTTATATCTTCCGTATCCCAAAGAGGTAAGTTCACTAGCTTTAACTCTTCCAAGGAATTTGTTGAAAAATCAATTGAAAATCTTGGTTCCTGCAACTCGCAGCCAGAACTCCCTAAGCTCTTCGAACTTGCTTCCATGAAAAAAGTAATATTCTTCATCTTCCTCTCTTCCTCATGCGGGAAGGTATGACGGAGTGAGGGCTTGTGGAATGAAGTGGTATTTTTGTTATTAAATTAGTGTTTGGGTGATAGAAATGTAATATTTAAGTTTTGGGTATTAAATATGTAATATAGATATAATAAAGTGGCCCGTATGTAAATCCCCCATTTTATAAATATTATCTCTTTTTTTCATTAATACTTGCAATCATAAATTTTTTTTCGAATTATAAGAAGATATAATTTTTACCTACAAACATATTATTGATTTTAACATTTATAATTATTATTAATTTTATACTTACCAATAAAAAATAGTTTGACTAATTAATAACTTAAAATCAATGTAGATGAAATTGTTTCTTTATGGAATTTATGAGCACTTTATTAATTAAGTGTAAGATACATGATTAATATTTTATAAGATCAAAAGTAGATGGATGATAATGATTTCTTTTGGGTGGAGTTTCAAGCACTTGTTTAATAGTAGTATATATTATTTCTAGTGATTTTGATATAGAATAATAATAGTATATCTATGAAGAAGAAGGTCTAATAATTATCATTATTCTAAAAACTTCACAAAAATAGAGAATGTTAGGGCTATATTATAGTCAACGAGTAAGATACTCATCAAGATTTTATGTTTGTTAGTGACAAATTCAAGCATGGTTGAGTTTTACAAGAGAATTTCTCTCTCCACCATAAAAATATGTTTCTTTAGGGCTACAAAAAAATCGAGCCAAGCCAAGTAAAAACTTGCTTGAGCTTGAGTTTTTTGCTAAACTTAAGCTCTAGTTCGAGCTTGAGCTCGATTCGAGTATTTATAGTAGTATTTTATCTTGATGCGTTAAAATTATGGTTGTTTGAGCTTATCTCATTAGCTAATCAAATGAGCCTTAATAATGTGTAGTCCATTTATTTTAAAAATAAGATCATGATCGATTGAAATAATTAAAGAATAAGAATTTCAACAAGCATAAATGATTGACTTGTGTTCATAAACAAAAACAATATAATATTAAGAAGAACAAGACTCTTATATAATCACATATTAAACAAATTTTCAAATGAGTCTTAAATAAACATATTGTTGCGTCCTGGAGTATTCGCGGCGGTAGAGAAA